CGGAGCCTGCTTGATGCCGTAGAGTGACTTGAGTAGCTGGCAGACTTGGTTGGGTTCTCTGTGGGAGCCGTGCGGTAGCTCGACGAAAATTTCTGCATCAACAGGTGCGTAGAGAAACGCGTTCGCGACGTCAATTTGTCGCAGCTTCTTCTTCTTCATGGCGGCGATTGCGAGGAGAATGCGTAGTGAGGTGTGGCGGCTAACCGGAGCGAAAGTTTCGGTGAAGTCTCGTCCGTGTTCTTGGTCGAAGCCGCGTACAACCCAGCGAGCTTTAAATTTGTCAATGGTGCCGTCAGCCTTTGTCTTCACACGGAAGACCCACTTCCCGGTGAGCACTGTCTTGTTCCGTGCCACGCCGATAGGAACCACTTTCCACGTGTTGCGTTCCTCCAGTGCCTTCAGCTCCTTGTCCATGGCTTCGCGCCATTTTTCCTTATGCTCCCCCCCCAGAGCCTGTTGAACTGTCGCAGGCTCTTTAGGAAAGGCGGTGCCGTGGACTGCGGTGACGAGTCCGAGAATTTGCAGTCCACTCTGTGAGTAGCGGGGAAGATTTACGTCCTCGGGATAAGCTGCTTCATCTCCCGCTTTTGGATCAGGTATGAAGTTCGGTCCTACTCGTTCTGCTTCGTTGGTGTTGATTGTCGCAGGTGTTACGTAACCGTTGTCGGCGAAATAGTAGAAGGTTTCGGCGTTGACACTTTCGCGAGGGTTATCTTCGTCCATGGGAACGTCGTCGGAGCAGAACGGAAGAGGTCCGGCTTCTTCTGATGCGTTGTCCACATTCTGCTCGTCCCAGTCAGCTTCGTCCGCTGCTGAGGCGAAGGCTCGGTCACCGCGAAAACCACCTGTGGGATCCTGGTCTTCTTGCAGGTTGGCAAGGTATGTCTGGAGCGTGAGTCGTTCGTAGAAAATTACATCACGTGCTGCTACTGTTTCCTTGGAATGGACGTCGAAGATTTTCCACGCGTTGTAGTTCTTTTCGATTCCCAGGTGTAGTCCCCACTGTGCTCGTTGAGAAAATCGGCCCGCTCGTGCTGCTGGGGGTCGGTACTGTACCATGCATCCGAATACTCGTAACATTTTTGTGCTGCCCTGTTTCCCTGTCCATAGCAGATGCGGTGATGCGTTGTTTGGAAGTGATGATGACGAGAGCAAGTTGTGCAGCATGACGGCGTGGTCCATTGCCGCAGGCCACTGGTAGTTGGGTAGCCGCATGCCACGTAACAGTTTGCGCATGCTGTTCTGCAAGGTCCTGTTCATTCTTTCTGCTACACCTTGCTGCTGATGGGCGTAGGGAAGGGAGATGAGCCGCTTGATTCCCCTGTCCGCCAGGTACTGCTTGAATCGCTGAGAGGTGTATTCTCCTCCTCCGTCTGACTGGAAGCTTTTTAGTTTCACGCCCGATTCTCTCTCTGCTACTGGTAGCCAGGCAACGAAGGCTTCGAATGCCATGTCGCGGCTAGGGAGGTTTAGGTGCCAGACGTAACGGGTGGCGGCGTCGATGAAGGTGATTGTATAGTTGTATATTACTTGTCCTGGTTCCCGATTGAACAGGATGTCGCTATACACCTTCTCGAGTGGTGCGTACGCGGGTGCGCTCGGGTTGTGATGAGACGCAAACGGTCGATGTGGTAAGTCACCTTCAGGGCAGGTGAAGCACGTTCCTCGTACTCGTTGAAGTTCTCGTCCGTCGGTCAGTAGGAGTGAGTCCTTGTCGAGTACTCCTGCTCTTATCGTATTGTTTAATACTGTGTTGCTTGGGTGTCCCATCCTTGCGTGCCAGGTGCTTTCGTCGGCGCGATGTCCGGGTGATCGTCGGTACATATCGGAGTTGGAGTAGAAGTTGGCGGTGAAGTTGGCGCTACGATGAACTTCTCGTGGTGCTGGGTGTAGTTGTTGCGCGGTTGTCGGTGGTGCGTCGTCGATGAGGAGCGGTGTCGTTGAAGGACCAGCAATTGGTGTTGACGTTCCTGCTGCTGCCGTTGATGGTTCTGCTACTGCCGATGTTGTCTCTGCTGCTGCCGATGTTGTCTCTGCTGCTGCCGATGTTGTCTCTGCTGTTGCCGATGTTGTCTCTGCTGCTGCCGATGTTGTCTCTACTGCTGCCGATGTTGTCTCTGCTGCTGCCGGTGTTGTCTCTGCTGCTGCTGATGTTGTCTCTGCTGCTGCTGATGTTGTCTGAATTGTTGCTAACGCCCTTGTTCTTTCTGCTTCGGGGATGGTGTGTGAATACCAGAAGCCTTCTGGACTGAAGTCTGGATCAAGGTCTGGAGGGTGTGTCCAGTTGGTGAAGTTAACGATGGCTTCGCTGTCGGCGGTGCCAAGATCAGGAACGAAGTCAAGAACGAAGACGTTGTTCTTGAGGACCGCCTTGCCGATGTAGAGTCCTCCTCTCCCGTGATACAGCTTGAATTCTTGGGTGGTGCTGTCTGCTTCGAGGTGAATCCCTTTCGCCATTAGCTGACTGACGCTCAGTAAGTTGTAGCCGAGTCCCTCCGCGATTAGTACTTTTGACATCTGCAGTATAACGTTTGTTTCCCTTGACTGAAGTTGAACTACGCCTTGTCGTCGTGTTCGCAGGTTCTGATTGTTGGCGACTGTAATGACAACTTTGCGTTGAAGTTGGTATTCTCGTTGAACGAAGCGTCCCGAGGAGCACATGTGCTGTCCGCAGCAACTGTCCAAGAACCATGTGTCCCTTCCGGATGGTTCGCTTTGGGCGATGGCGGCGTATGTCGGGTTCGGCTGAAGTGACTCGCGGCGGGGTGTGGTTTCGTCGAGTTGTTCTTCCGGTGAGTAGTGTGGTGGTGACTCGGTGATGCAGGAGTCACTCAGCTTTGCCATGCAGCTGACGATGTTTCTTGCTCCTTGTGCAGGTTGTCCTGTTGAGGTCGTTGAGGCTTGAATCTGAGTCGTGGGATTTGCTTGCGTTGAGGCGATTTGGCTGCTTGAAGGTCGAAGTTGCCGCTGTGGAGTTGTTGACTGTTGACGATTCGGGCAGTGCGTACGCGGGTGTCCTGAAGTTTTGCAGATGTGGCAGAACGGAGGTACTGGCTTCGGTTGTTGCTGCCGGTTGTTGTTGTTGTTGTAGCGTCGCTGAGTGTGGAACGCGAATTCCGGTGCTGATGTATTCTTTTTGTGTCGTTCTTCTTGCACGTCCATGTCTTGCTGCTCGGCGTGGATTTCGGCGCAGAGCGCTGCTTCGGAGATTCTTCCGTGAGCTCGGAGAATGGCCTTTGTGGCGCGCCATTGAGGACCGAGGCCGCCGATGATGACTGTCACGAAGGCGTCTTCAGAAATCGACCCTCCGCATCGAAGAAGCTTGTCGCGCAACTCGCGACATCGACTGATATACGCCATCCCTTTCTCCCCTGGTTTCATTTCAACCGTTGTCAGTTGCGCCATTAACCGACTTTGGCTTACGCTGTCTGTTGCTTGATACAGGCTCTTCAGGTGGTTGTACGCGAGCTCCGCGGAGTTGCCGTAACCTCGGTAAGACCTTATGTTCTGCTGTTGAGTCAGGGTGATATTCCTCAGTAGGATCGTGTACGCCATCATTGACTGATAGGTGTACTGCTGCTTCTCGTACTGTGTGCCGTTTGTTGGGTATGGCAGAGACCCGTCGAAGAACCCGAGTATCTGCGCGCCTTCCATCATCAGCTCAAACTCGAACGACCAGGTGAAGAAGTCCTTTCCATCGAAGGGTCTTGACGTCTGCATCTTCAGAACGTGTGCGAACTGCGACTGAACTTGTAATGCGTCCAGTGATTTTTCTTGTCCAGGTGAAGGCTGTGGGTGTGGCATAAAGCTGATGGACCCGCGCTCGTACGGAGCAAAGGTAGGCTGCTGTTGTTGATTTCCTCGTGCATATGATGAGCCGTCGAGACTCATGGGTGTTGCTCCGTTGTTGTTGCTGTTGTGTGACTGCGCAGGTGCCGATTGCTGGTGTTGCTCGTAGAAGGACATGAAGGAGAAAAACTTCTCCATCATGCTCTGGTCGAAGTCTGCAGGTTGATTCGCGGGAGTCTCGGTAGATGTTGCTCTGGGTCTTGTTGCCGTGCCCTCCTTTGTCTGTAGGCCAGAGGCAGGAGGTGGAGTAGGAGTGGTGCCCTGGGAGCCGTTGGAGTTGCTCCTTTCCTTTTGTGTAGCCATGCTGATTGATATTGTCGGTATAGAAGTTGAATTCCCCCTGATTGCTCTCATACCATGTTGGGCTGAAAAGCCCTTAGGATCTTTGCAGGGGTGAAATCTGGGTAGAGTTGGTGTAGTAGCGGAAGCGTTAATTAAAGGGTTGTGAACCACCTTGCGCTAGTATGTGAGGGCAAAGTAAGTTGATTAAAGCAAAGAGATACAAGATTATATAAGAGTACAAGGAATACGAAGAGATACGGTTGCAACTACTTTACTGTTGCTGTTGCGGTTCGATACAGTGACGACTCGGGCAACTGCTCTGTAGCGAGTCAGTTGCGTGTCCTTGCTGTCGCGCTGTACTTGTCAGGTCAAAGGTTGCTGACCTTTGACTTTCGCGTAACCTCCGACAGTTACTTCAACCTCCGAGGGTTGACTCGCTGGTGCTTCGATAGTGTTTTGCTTCGCTTGTGTCTTGGTGTTTCGACACGATAGAGGCGCTTAGGACCGATTGTTTCCAACATTCTTTTGTAGCCAAAAGAGGGCGAGTAGCGATGCGACGCTGCCTTTGCTGCGTTGGCAATCGCTTCACTATCACAATACAAAATGTTAGAAAGTGAGCACACTTTCAAAAATTATCATTAAGATATACCTTCAGTCGTATAGTTTCTATAATGATTTCTTAGGACCCCATGAGCAGTGGCGTACAGAGTTTTGCATAAATCCCCTCCTGACAATGTAAGCATTTCATATACTATGTATAACCAATTTACATACAGATACCGTACATGAGCTGCAACTATCCACCACCACCCAGCTTTCACATGATCAGATCTGCTAATATCCCACCGTCTGGCCTTCTTACAACCATCCTAAGCAGCAGCTGAAGTGGGCTTCGTACCCGCACCGCCCACAGCCTGTGCAGCGGTGTTCCTGGCTCCACCATATGCCTGTCCAGCAGAGCCGGTCACAGTGTCCCTCGCAGCACCATACGCCGTCCCAGCAGTGTCCCTAGCCGTGCCATAACCCGTCTCTCCCATAGACCGGGCTGTATCAGCCACCTTGTGGGTGACATAACCAGCAGCGCTTTTCACCTCCCCAGTCAAGCGATCCACCTGCTCCGAGCCATACGGCTGCTTCCCACGGAAGTAATTCCATCCCCACACGAGCGTTGCTATCGTGGCTACAGCTGCTGTGGCCAGTGCCAGTGCTCCGCCTGGAAGACACAGGCAAAACGAGGGTCAAGAGAGAGGAGGTAGGGAAGAAAGAGCAGGTGCGATAGCTCCTGGATTGCAACCAAGCAATGCTGCAATGAAGCAAAAGCAGAAATCCAAGAGCAGCATGTGAAGTCTGCGCGACATGCAGTTCAGGTTCAACGATCGACAGCCCAATCCTGCATCCTCTTCAAACCACAAACAGGACCTATCAACACAAGCCACGCACAGCCAATCCCCCATGGGCGCACCTCCGAGCAGCAGCAGCGGCACGAGGATGGGCGAGAAGAAAAGCAGCACGGGCGAGAAAAAGAGCAGCGTCGCTCCGCCGCCCACCACAGTCACGGTGGCGATGGTCGCGGCAATCCCAAGGCCCGCGATGGTGAACACGATGTCCCTGCCATGGAACCACAGGAGCGTACGAAGCCAGAAGAGAGAAAGCCTAGTGCGGGAGAACGTGAGGACGGGGAGGTTTACGTTGCACTTCTCAAGTGGGTACGTTGCTAGCGAGGCGGTGAAATCACGGCGTCGCTAGCAGAAGCAACAAGGAAACGGCGACACGGGGAAACGGAGGAAGTGAGACTTGCCTGGTCCTCCAGCCCTGCTGGCTGCCCATGTGCGACATGCCGTAGCTTTGCTGCGAATACATGGCGCTGACGCTGACGCTGAGGGTGAGAAATAGGACTACGAGAGCACTAAAACTGGAGACAAACAGCCGCAGGTGCTGCTACAAGGTCGAGAGAGAAGATATACGAAAAAAGTGCCAACGGGTTTGAATCTGCTGAGGAAGGAAAGGCCAAGAATGAGAGATCCAGAAAGATTGGAAAGAGTCGTTATATGGTGCGCTATGCTCCATCGAGCGACACGGCTGATCGATCAACTAGGACCAAGCGACCAAGTCGAATCGAAGCTTCGCTCGATCGAGGTGGAAACGAGGAGCGAACGGAGACGAGAAGCTGAGTTGTGAACTTCGAGGGGCAGTAGCGGGAGCAAGCTGGGCGCGCTGATGTGGCGAGCTCGCAGAGCGCCATGCCATGGTTAGGCAGCTCGCGCTTCGAAGCGCAGGCCATGCCGTGGCCCGTGGCTACTATCGCAATGCACGAACTGGGAGCTGTGAGTGGATGGGGGCAGAAATATATATCATTAGTGTACACTCCTCGCCAAACAGGTTATAGTGGCAGCAGAGTGGGCCATGTGCCAAAGGAACTGCAGCCTCTCAATTCCAAGCCTGCATTGCTGCGTTGGTGTGCGCGATATGCTGACGGACGTGCAGCGCTACGTGTGAACAATATCAACAATCATGATAATCCCCAATCATGACAATCCTCAGTTTCGAATATCGACGGAGCAGCAGTTGGAGGAGTGGTGTCAACTTTTGGAGTTTGATACCCCCATGGCGACTGCGGAGGAGTCAGAGGCGGACGGAGAACCTCCCAGGCCGCCTTCCTCATGCCCCTGTTTTCCGTGTGACACGTGTTTCCACACTTTCGCTACGCGAGGGGCCGCTGCGAACCACATGAGGGTATGCCGGGCGGCTGAGGCGGAGAGGCATGCACAGGCTCTCGGCTCGATTCCGTTTCTGGTGGAGACCGACACGCAGGAGCGGCCGATGCGTGGGCTGGGGTTACGTCATGGGAATGGGAAACATTTTTCAGTGTGGAGGCGGTTGGAGGGAGGACAGTGCGCCGGATGTCACAGCGTGCCAGGTCGGGGGTCTTAGACGCGCTTTGTTGCATCCTAAAGCGCTTGAAGAGCCAACCAGGAGATGAAGCCGCTACCCTCCTACTCTTGGCGTTTCCGCGCCTCATCCTAGCCGTGCCTCCCAAGCCAGGCATAGGTCAGAAGGCGCTGATCACAGAGCGGTTGGGTGCGTTCTGGGAAAGGAGGTGGCGGGAGCTGTTCGACTCTGCCATGGTGGCGGCGCGGCCAGCAGTTCGCCCACTTTCCTACACTTGCTCTGACCAGGACCCGGATGCCATCCGCCTGTCACGGTGCCGATCTCGGTGCAAAGTGGGGGAGTGGAGCCGTGGATTGGCCTGCCTTACAGCAGGGGAGTTGGCTCGACCGTCTGAGGCCATGGTGCAGTCGCTGCGAGTGAAGTACCCGGCTAGCACTAGCGAGGTACCACAGTGGGTCCGCGATTTCACCGTCGATACTGCTCAGCGGCCTTCGCTCACGACCGACATCCTGGCCAGAGCTATCCATATAGCCGCTCGAGCTTCAGCAGCAGGGCCATCGGGGTGGGTCACAGAGCATCTGCGCGACACCTTCCTCACTGAACCTTCCTGCCTTTCCCACCTGTTGGAAGTGTTCAACCAATGGGTGGCGGGACAGGTCCCCGAGCGGGCTCGGCCGTGGCTCGCCGCATCCAACCTAGTCGGGCTTTCCAAGCCTAACGGCGACGTCCGGCCGGTGGCGATCGGGGAGGTGCTTCCTCGTATCCTTGCTCGAGCCCTCTGCATCTTGCTCCGCCCTGCGATGGTTTCCTACTTCCTGCCGTGCAACCAGCTGGGAGCGGGCACTAGGGTTGGGGCGGAGATTCTCACTCATTCTTTCCGGTCAACGCTGGCCACTCACCCCGACTGGTGTGAGCTACAGATAGACGTAGCAAACGCCTTCAATTCGTTTCACCGTCATGCGATGTTCGATGGGCTGCGGGAGTCGCCTTTTTCAGGGATGATCCCATTCTTGCGTGTTTTCTATGGGACACCTAGCGACCTGTACCTCCGAGCAGGCCCTTTCGTATAGAGCCTCGAATCGGCACGGGGATCGAGGCAGGGGGACCCGCTCGGCCCTTTTATTTTCGCGTTCACGCAGCAGCAGGCGATGGAGCCGGTTACTAGGGAGTTCGGGGACCTGCTTTTCCTCAGCTATGTAGACGATACCTATATTTTGGGGCCAGCGACTAGGATTCCGGAGGCTTTTGGGGTGCTGCAGGAGCGGTTGGAGTGGGTGGGGCTGGAGGTGCAGGCGCACAAGTGCCGGTTTTGGGAGCGCGAGGGCAGGGAGGTGGAGCGGGAACTGCCATTGGGGATGCAGCGGGTGGATGAGGGTCTTACTGTGGTGGGCGTGCCTATTGGGGAGGAGGTCTGGGAGGTGGTCCGGCTACATGAGCGGCTTCGACAGTTGCAGGCGCCACTGCCATGGCTCCCCTTACTCGACCACCCCCAGATGGCTTCACACCTCATCGCCATTGCAGTTTCAGCGCGGCCGATGTACCTCGCCCGGATTATGCCGCCGCGTCCGGAGGTGGTTGAGGCTTTTAGGGATTGGGACAGCTGTTTAGAGGATTGCTTTGAGCAGCTCTTCCCACCTAGCACTTGGGAGCAGGACCCCGACCGGTCTAGGCGCGCATGCATGCAGCTGCATCTCCCTGTGCGACTAGGAGGGTTCGAGATCCGGGCAGCGGCCTCTTTGAGCCCACTGTCCTATGTTTGTGGGTGGGCGCAGGCCGCGCGTGACATTGCACAGTTAGGGGTGGCGGACGAGGAGGCGATGTTTGCATAGTACCTCACCACTTCGACAGGGGCAGAGTTTCTTGACCCGTGGTTTGCCAAGGCTCTTGAGCAGCTGCCAGCGACTGTCTGCCAGGAGATACCTGGCTTACTTCTGTGTGTAGCGGCCCCTCCTGTTCGGCTTTTCCAGGCGCGGCAGCGGCAGTTAGCTGTAGAGGAGCTCCAGGCGCTGCGCCGTTTGGCTCGTGACGATGCTACCTTGGCCCGTTTCACATCCCTTCAGGGCCCGGGGGCGGGTGCATGGGTTTCGGCGGTTCCGGCTCACTCAGATCTCACATTCATTGCGGGCGAGTGGGGCATTGCTGCTGCTATACGACTCGGGCTCCCAATTCAGCAGCTGCAGGTGGCGGGGAGGTGTATTTGTGGCACATCGTATGTTGACCCAGCAGACCCGCATCATGCCCTGAGATGCAAGCACCAGCATGGTCCATCTCGGGTGCATGATGAGGTGAAGTTTGCGGTGGCGAAGACCAATGGCCCGTATGACCAATGACCAACGTTCGGAAGGCGAGGTCGACGGACCGAGCCTGAATTTCGAAAAGTTGGAATTGGGTCGAGCGACGTCGGACGGCTGTGGTGCCACGTAGTGGCGGAGCAAACTGACGTGAAAAGCGTCGTGGATCTTCCAGTCGTCCGGAAGTAGGAGTTTCGCTGTGACCGGGGTCAGCATCCGAATGATGCGGAAAGGCCCCACGTAGCGAGGACGCAATTTTGCAGGCTGGGGCAGTTTTAGGTTCTTCGCGTCGATGTCGGTCAGCATATCGGCTGGCGACAGTATTAGCCTTCCGGATAAACCCCGCTGCTTTGTCGCGGGCTGCTTGAAGTTCCGAGACGAACTGCTGCGACCTTGGTACCGGATTTTCAGGAGTCGTTGACGAGGGTACTACTGGATCTATCCCGTAATTGAGGTAGAACGGCGACTGATTGGTCGTTGCAGATGGGGCGTTGTTGTACGCAAACTCGAGCATGGGGAGTGAATCTTCCCACTTGGTGATGTTGGGGCAGTTCGTGCGAATCAACTGCTCCATCGTCTAGTTTGTCCTCTCTGTCTGTCCGTCGGTTTGCGGGTGGTAGGACGACGAAAACTGCAGGCGGGTACCGTACTGTGCCCACGTCTCCTGCCAGAACTTCGACGTGAATTTCGGATCTCGATCGTTGACGATCGCCGAAGGTAACCCGTGTAGTCGCACGACGGTCGAGATGAATAGCTTCGCTGTTTCCTCGGCTGTGATCGTCGTGCGGCATGGTGCGAAATGCGCCATTTTCGTTAAGCGATCAACGACGACGAGCACGGATTCGTTGCCACTTGCGCCAGCTGGCAGTCTTGTGACGAAATCCATTGTCACCTGTTGCCACGGTCGTTCGGGTGGCTCGAGGGGCTGTAGTAATCCAGCTGGGCGTTGACGTGATGACTTCATTGCCTGGCAGGTCGGGCAGGCGGACACGTAGTGCTGTACGTCCGACGCCATGTCGGGCCAGTAGTAATTTCGCTGCAGCAACTTCAACGTTTTGTCGACGCCGAAATGCCCGGAGAGATTGGAGACGTGTACCTCCTGCGTCAGCAACTCTCGTAAGGGTTGTGAAGAAATGAGGAATGAAGAAGAGAGGGATTGCACTAGCAGCAGTTGGCATACATATAGGAAACCCTAATTGGGTTGTACTCGCTATAGAGTACCCCACTGCAGGCTAGACAATTATAACATTATGACACACCCCCATAGCCAAAGTGGGGTGTAATCAGCACAATGAGCAAGCAGGCATAGAGCAGGAGTTCACAATAGCGAGCAAAGCTAGAGTTAATCACAGCGGGCAAGTGAGGAGGAGGAGGAACTGTGGAAGGAGAGAAGATGGGAGGCAACGACTGAAGCTGCAGAGGCACGGGCACAGGAGCGGCTGACTCAGTGGCTACCGAAGCAAGGGCGACGGACTACTGGAGTAACTGGCTCCGCGGCTATAGACGAGCGGCAGGAGCAACGGACCCACTGGCGACTGGTGCAACAGGCTCACTGGCTACCGAAGCAAGGGCGACGGACTACAGGCGCTGCAGGCGACACGACAGCTACCTTCACACAACCTCCTCCAGCTGCCCCACACCTCTCGACACACACCCCCTGCTCAAACCCTAGTTCTACTCCCACAGCACCCCCCTTTTCACACACCCCCTGCTGCACCCTAGGTTCACTCACACCCCACCCCCTAGCACCACTCCGTCGACTCCCACACACCCACCCCCCTCAGCGGCAGCTGCAGCAGTGGGAGACAGAGGAGGAGGAGGAGCAGGGGAGACCACACACCCGCCACCCCCTACTCGCCACCTCCAAACCCTAACACAGGGCAGGGCGGGATGGCGGGTAGGGAGGTTACGGGGGGGGGGGGGGGGGGAGGGGGGGGGCCGACGCGCGGCCTCCTAGGGCGCCAAAGCAGGCGGCAGACGGGGCGACGCTCGCCCCCCCCCCCCTAGGTCGTCCCTCCCGCACGCGGCCCCCTCAGGTCGCCTCGACAGGCGACGGGAAAAGAGGGGGGGGCGGTGCACGTGCCCCCGGTGCGCCGCGACAGGCGACGGAGCATGGCCGGGGCGGGGCCGGGGCAGGGTCGAGGCAGGGCCGAAAGGGGCGGCGACGGGGCCGCAAGGGGCGGCGACGGGGCCGATAGGGGCGGCTACGGGGCCGCGAAGGGGCCGCGAGGGGCCTGGAAGGGCGGCGACGGGCCGCTAGGGGCGGCGACGGGGCCGCGAAGGGGCCGCGAGGGGCCTGAAAGGTCGGCGACGGGGCCGTTAGGGGCGGCGACGGGGCCGCAAGGGGCGGCGACGGGGCCGCTGGAGGCGGCGATGGGGCCGATAGGGGCGGCGACGAGGCCGCGAAGGGGCCGCGAGGGGCCTGGAAGGGCGGCGACGGGCCGCTAGGGGCGGCGACGGGGCTGCGAAGGGGCGGCGACGGGGCCGCGAAGGGGCCGCGAGGGGCCGAGAAGGGCGGCGACGGGGCCGCGAGGGGTGGCGACGGGGCCGTTAAGGGTCGCGCGAGGGGCACGCCACGGGGCGTGCAGCACACAGAGTAGCAGCGGAAGCAGTTAGGTGGGCCCACAGGCCAGGAGCGTAGATGCTCTGATAGCATGTGAAAAATGAGGAATGAAGAAGAGAGGGATTGCACTAGCAGCAGTTGGCATACATATAGGAAACCCTAATTGGGTTGTACTCGCTATAGAGTACCCCACTGCAGGCTAGA